ACACCGGCGCCTACGACGGCATCCTCGGCATGGATTGGTTGGAGAAGAACAGCCCGATGACTTGTCACTGGCAAGAGAAGTTCATTTCCTTCGACCACGATGGCGAGACGGTCACCCTGCAAGGTGTTCGACCCAAGACGACACCCACTCGCTGCCGTGCAGCCGGCGGAACTCTGCAAACTGATTGCCGGCAATGACATCTGGGCAATGGCTATGGTGGAAATGCAACCCCCAAGACCCAAGCCACGCAAGCCGTCTCAGACGCCCATAAGTGACTTACTGGAAGAATTTGCAGATGTCTTCGCGGCACCTACTGGCCTGCCCCCGCACCGGCAATATGACCATGCCGTCATCCTGGAAGACGGAGCCCAGCCAACAAACACTCGTCCTTACCACTACTCTCCTCTGCAAAAGGACGAGATCGAGCGGCAGGTGAAGGAAATGCTCGACGCCGGTGTGATCACCCACTCGGTCAGTCCATACGCCGCGTAGGTGCTTCTGGTGAAGAAAAAGGATGGCACCTGGCGATTCTGCATGGACTACCGACGCCTCAATGAAGTGACAGTGAAGAACAAGTTTCCGCTGCCCATCGTCGACGAGCTACTCGATGAGCTGGCCGGCACGGCATACTTCTCCAAGCTCGATTTGCGTGCGGGCTACCATCAAATCCGGATGCCTGAGGACGACGAGCACAAGACGACGTTCAAAACACACCACGGCCATTTTCAGTTCCGGGTTATGCCGTTCGGATTGACAAACGCTCCGGCGACATTCCAGTGCCTGATGAATGCCATCTTCGCCAAATACACCCGTAAGTTCGTCATCATTTTCCTTGACGACATACTTGTTTTCAGCGCGACCCTGGAGGAACACATCGAGCACCTACGGCTCGTTCTCGATCTGCTCCGCAAGCACAAGCTCTACGCCAAGATGTCCAAGTGCTCGTTCGCTCAAGACCACATCAACTACTTGGGTCACGTCATCTCCAAGCACGGCGTCGCGACCTATACAGAGAAGACGAACGCCATGGCGCAGTGGCCAACCCCAACCAACGCCACTGAACTCCGCGGCTTTCTTGGACTCACCGGCTACTACCGCAAATTTGTGCCACATTATGGGATCATCGCCAAGCCCCTCAAGCAGCAGCTCACCAAGAAAGGCTTCGAGTGGCCCGAGTCGGCGCGGCACGCGTTCGACGCGCTCAAGCAAGCAATGGTGACCACGCCGGTGCTCGCCCTCCCCGACTTCGACAAGCCTTTCTCCATTGAGACCGACACGTGTGACACCGGCATCGGCGCGGTCCTCGTCCAGGAGGGCCATCCAATCGCCTACTACAGCAAGGCCTTGGGCGTGAAGAATCAGAAGCTGTCCACCTACGAGAAGGAGTTCTTGGCGGTGATGATGGCCGTTGACAAATGGCGCTCCTACCTGCAGCGCGGGCCGTTCACCATCGTCACCGACCACAAGAGTTTGTGTACACTCGGCGATCAGCACCTGGTGACCGACGTCCAGCGCCGCGCCATGTCCAAGCTCGTCGGCCTTCAATTCAAGTTCCAGTACAAGCGCGGGGTCGACACGGTGCCGCGGACGCACTCTCGCGCGTGGGCAGCCACTTCAGCGCGAATGCGCTGTGGCGTGGATCCAGGAGGTGGTCAACTCGTACGCTACGGACCCCGACACCCAAGAACGACTGCATCAGCTCTCTATGCATAGCCTTGACGACGACGAGTACGAGCTATATCGCGGGGTCATCCGTCGCCACGGGCGGCTGTGGATAGGCGCCAACACCGCCCTGCGCACAAAACTGATCAGCGCCATGCACGACAGTGCTGTCGGAGGTCACTCCGGCTCGACAGCCACTTATCAGCGCATCAAGAAGCTTTTCGAGTGGAAGGGCCTGAAGCAGGACGTCGGCGACTACGTGCGGCAGTGTCAAGTTTGCCAGCAGGCAAAGCACGAGCTGCGCAAACCAGCAGGCAAGTTGGCACCCTTACCCATCCCCATGGCTCCGTGGCAAGATCTGACGATGGATTTCGTCGAGGGCCTGTCCAAGTCCGAAGGGTACGACACCATCATGGTGGTGGTCGACCGCTTCACCAAGTTCGCGCATTTCGTGCCCTTACGACATCCGTTCACGGCGACTCAAGTGGCAAAGGTGTTCTGGGACAACATCGTCAAATTGCACGGAATCCCTTCCTCCATCGTGTCAGATCGCGACAAGGTGTTCACGAGTGTGCTCTGGCGCGAGCTGCTCTCCGGCGCAGGCACCAAGCTCCTCTACTCGATGGCGTACCACCCGCAGACTGATGGACAGAGTGAGCGTGTGAATCAATGCATGGAAATGTACTTGCGCTGCACTGTTCACGACACTCCGCATCAATGGCGTCGCTGGCTGCCCTCTGCTGAATTCTGGTACAATTCTTCTTTCCATTCGTCATTGGGTTGCTCTCCATTCAAGGCGCCGTACGGGGTCGAAGCAAATGCAGGAAGCATGGCCACTTGGCCAGCAACACAAGCAGCATTGCCGGATGGTGAACAGTGGGATTGGGCAGCACATAAAGAGCAGTTGCAAGCATAGTTGGCTCGGGCGCAGACTAAGTACAAGAAGTTTGCAGACCGGAATCGCTCCGAGCACGTCTTTCAGGTGGGGGAACAAGTACTGCTGAAACTCCAACCCTATGTTCAGAAATCGGTGGCCAGTCACCCGTGCGCCAAGTTGGCGTTCAAATTCTTTGGACCATTCTCAGTCACCGCAAGGATCGGTCCCTCAGCTTACAAACTGGATCTACCACCCGACAGCCGCATCCATCCAGTGTTCCATGTTTCCCAGCTGAAGCCCTTTACACCCAACTATACACCGGTGTTCTCTGAACTGCCTGCAACTACAGACCTGTCGGCAGTCGATTCCCAGCCAGTTGAGATTCGGGACCGACGCATGATGAAGAAGGGCGACGCGCCAGTGGTTCAGATTCAAGTCGAATGGAACACCACACCCCCATCAACAACCTGGGAAGACTATGAGGTTCTTCGATGGCGCTACCCGCAAGCAGTCATCTGGAACGACGGCAGTTCCGACGAGGAGGCCATTCCTCAAGGAGGGGAGAATGTCACAGCGGCGGTACACACCACCGTGTGACTGCCAGTTGGCATGGCCAAGTGTAGGTGTGTGTGGGTTCCACCTGTAAGCGTGTGTAAGGCCGTGGCGTGCGGGAGTACAAATACCCTGAGAGAGGGATGTAGTGGTAGGCTGATGAAAGTACTATGAAATTCCTCACCTCATCTTTCCCCTCGCTCATCCCCTTCTCCAAGTCTCCTCTCCCCCTGCCAGATCCCCCTCGCAGCCTACTCGGATCGCCTGCGATCTAGATCGGGGCGTTACATTCAGGTTCGGTTTCATTGACATCAACATCCCCCATCAGAAGCATCTTTCTGACATTCATATCTCCGGCCTACACAAGGAATCAATCATTACAAGTTTTTCATATGTATGTTGCAGCTTTATATACTGCAGCTTGTTAGGCATAGCATGATTACAGTAATATTGCATGAACCGAACATAAGAAAATGTAGAGCTGCTTCTTGATGATACAGACAAAGCATGTAGATCATAATCATAGTAACTCATTTCAAGCATTATTTTAAGAGTCTTTTCAAAAATAAGGTGTGGACCTCAATTACACACACTGCTTGACTCACTTTAACTTCATAGCAGTCGTAGCAACTAATTTCATGTGCAATGAAAATCTAGAGGTGTTCAAAAGGGAAAAGGTCTGTGTAGACCACAAAGAGAAGACACTGAACACTCAATCATTGTACGTTTTTTCATATACGAGTTGCAGCTGCATGAATACATCAATATCGCATCAACCAGACATAAGAAAATGCAGAGCTGCTTCTTGCTAATACAAACAATGTGTGTAGATCATAATGATGGTAACTCATTTCATGTAAAATTTAAGAGTATTTTCGAAAATTAAGGTATACACCTCAATTACACACTGATTACTCGAATGAACTTCATAACAGCCATAGCAATTAATTTCATGTGCAATGCAAACCTAGGGGTGTTTAAAAGAGAAAAACTTTGGGCGATTAATTTCATTATGCTATAAATAAAATGCGTTGTAAGGAGGCCATGTAAACAAAACAAAGTCACTTGGTAACACAGATAGAGGATATCTAGATTACCTGAGATAATTTGGGACCTTCTTTCGGGGCACTGTGGCTCTTACTTTTAGCCCCTTGGGTAGATAAATTGCTGGAACGAAAATCCCCGTGACCTACTAACGCCTTTGGCACAACATAGCTGCAATGATATTCAAAGTAATATCTTAATTTTTAACTTTCACATGAGCAGCACTTTCTCTACATTGCAGGTAATCGTGTACAGATATAAGAAATACCTTCCATAATAATCGCCGTTGTCATAATCGTCAAAATCATCATCCAGCAGCTCCTTATGCCTTTCTTTTTTCATCGCATGGTTCTTTTCCGTTGAGCCATGGTTCACTAAAAAGGAACAAAAATCAGTTGAGAATGCAGTTTGCTTGATGTCCATGAACATAAGTACAACCAAAAGTATCTAACCAATCTTTATATAGTTCAAATAATAAAATTCCTTCTAGTGAAATGAAACAGATCAGACAAGAGAACATAACAGAATGTGATCTTATAGCAGAACATGTGCTTTGGTTGAAGAATCAAACACAAAACTAAGGACAAGTGAAGTGCTTTTATTTACATATAAGAGATACACAAAACTAACGACAAATGTAGTGCTTTTATTTACATAAGAGATGTTCTCTTTGTGAACTCAGTCAAATGTTTTAATATCCCAGAAAATCATCTTACTTGGTACCACATTTGCAGAGTTGAGAAAGAACTGCATGTCCTGGGATGTCGCCACGTCTATTGGTCTTTGTTTTCTGTTCAACGCCGAAGAATCACGTCACAGTAAGTCAACCAAGTCATTGAATACAAGAATTCTTCAGAAATACTGCTCACCATAGGTTCTGGGTTTTGGGGTTAGCCCCATAGCGCAAATGAAGTCGTACACAGTTCAAAGAACCATTTGTCACTGCAAGGAATAATGGGGTTTCTTTGGTCTTGGAAGGTATATCAACGCAATCTTGTTCATGAAGCAGAAGTGACTTGCAGAGCAAAGAAACACAATAATGCCAATTAGCCACAGTGGTATTATTAAGCACTTGAGAAGGAAGTAACAAGGCTACCTGAAGAGCCTTGTAATTGTCCTTAGCTGCAGTACTGTTCACTGGTGTGAGACCTAGTTTATTCCCCTGGAAAACTCCGGCACCATTCTTCAGCAGGAGCATCCTGCACAAAGACAGAAGACAACTAAGGACACCATCTTATAATTTAGCTGTTAATGGAGCAGAATTTTGAAAAGACCACCTTGGCTCCTGTGTGCTTGAGCTACTACTGAGGCACCAGTGAAGTGCCGTGTTTCCTTCGGGGTCGGTTTCATTGACATCAACATCCCCCATCAGAAGCATCTTTGTAACATTCATATCTCCGGCCTACACAAGGAACCAATCATTGCAAGTTTTTCATGTGTATAAGATGCAGCTTTATAAATTGCAGCTTGTTAGGCGTAGCACGATTCACAGCAATATTGCATCAACTGAACATATGAAAATGCAGAGCTGCTTCTAGATAATACCTAAAAACAAAGTGTATAGATCATAATCATAGTAACTCATTTCATGTACGATTTTAGGAGTCTTTCATAAAATAAGGTGTGGACCTCAATTACACACATTGATTACTCACTAAACTTCATGGCAGTCCTAGCAACTAATTTCATGTGCAATGCAAATCCAGAAGTGTTTAAAAGGAAAAAAGTTTGTGTAGACCACAAAGTAAAGACACTGAACACTCAATCATTGTAAATTTTTCTATATATAAGTTGCAGTTGCACGATTACAGCACTACTGCATCAACTGAACATAAGAAAATGCAGAGCTGCTTCTAGTTAATACGTAAAAACAAAGCGTGTAGATTATAATCATGGTAACTCATTTCATGTATTATTTTAGGATTCTTTCCTAAAATAAGGCATGGACCTCAATTACACACAATGATTACTCACTTAACTTCATGTCAGTCGTAGTAACTAATTTCATGTGCAATGCAAATCTAAAAGGGAAAGAGCCTGTTTAGGCCACAGAGCTGCTTCTTGATAATACAAACAAAGGGTGTCGATCATAATCATAATACTCATTTCATGTATAATTTAAAGTCTTTTCGAAAAATAAGGCGTAGACCTCAGTTACACACACTGATTACAGCAATATTGCATCAACCACAGAGCAGTCCTAGCAACTAATTTCATGTGCAATGCAAATCTAGAAGTGTTTCAAAGGGTAAAAAGTCTGTGTAGACCACAAAGTAAAGACACTGAACACTCAGTCATTGTAAGTTTTTCCATATATATAAGTTGCAGTTGCATGATTACAGCAATATTGCATCAACCAAACATAAGAAAGTGCAGAGCTGCTTCTTGATTATACAAACAAAGGGTGTCGATCATAATCATAATACTCACTTCATGTATAATCTAAAAATCTTTTCAAAAAATAAGGCGTAGACCTCAGTTACACACACTGATTACTCAATTAAACTTCATAAGAGTCATAGCAACTCATTTCATGTGCAATGCAAATCTAGCGGTGTTGAAAAGGGAAAAATAATCGGTGTAAACCTCAAACTAAAGACAATGAATACTCAGGGCATCTCCAGCCGCGCCCCCAACAGGCCCTTCCCAGGCGATTTTGCCGCGCCGGCGCCAAAAAAACGGTCCAGTCGCGCCCCCAGAAGCCCGTTTTTCGCCGGCTCGGGCCAAAACTGGTGCCGGCGGATCCAGACCGAACCCAGCGCCCTGGGGGGCGCTTGGGGAGCCGGCACAAGCGAAAAAGGCGCGTGGGCCCGCCCTGGCGGCGACCCGAGGACCTTTTCCCGCCGCTTCTTGACGCTTTTCCCTCGCATCTCCTCCGCTCGCTCGCCTTCCTCCTGCCATTCCCTCCCTTTCTCCCGCCAAACCCCCTCCAGCTCGCCTTCCAGTCGCCGCCATGCCGCCGAAGAAGTACGCCATGCCGCGCGTGGCGGCAACCACGACTGGCAACGTGGCCCAGCCGAAGCAGAGGAAGCCGAGGGCGCCGCCATCGAAGCCACCGGGCATGTCGAACGCCGAGTGGAGGGTGGAAGTTCAGCGACGCGACGCAGTCACCGCCGACCGGCAGAACAGGGCCATTGCCAAGAAGGCCCGCGACAACGCGGCGCGTGCGGCGGCGTCTTCCTCATCGGTCGACCACGCGGGGATGATGAATCCACCCGTCGTCAGCCACGCCCAGTACGCGCCCTGGGGACAGCAAGGCGTCGGATCTCCATGGGGATCGTCGTTGCCCGGCTACGCCGACGGCGACGTGCACGGGGGGTTCAACCCAAACATGACCTTCCCCCATGGCCACCCCGCGACGCGCACACCCTCGCCCGCCTTCGTCGGCGTGCAGTACCCTCCATACAACTACTCGCCGCCCGCCGCCTACGCGTCCACACCGACGCCCCATCTCCGCCATGGGCCACTGCCCTTCTCGCACCTCGGCGACACGGACGACATAGGAGCCGACATGGATGACATCATCGCGACAGGATCGACCGCGGCCGCCGCGTCTCCCGGGTTCGCCACCCAGGACGAGGTAGTGGATCTCAGCGGCGCCATGGAGGCCGAGCTCGGCTACGTCTACGGCGAGGACGCGCACGAAGCGCAGGAACCCGAGGAGGAGGACGAGGACGAGGACGGGGAGGAGGAGGAGCCAGCTCCTGATCCGACGAAGGGGCGCCAGAAGAAGAAGCGGGCGGCTAGGACAGGCGAAGCGCGCATCAAGTGGACATCCAAGGAGGAGGAATGCCTCGCCGAAGCATGGAAAGTCGTCTGCCTCGACCCGACCACCGGCACAAACCAGAGCTTCGAGACGTACTGGGAGCGCATCAAGGCTGAGTTCGACGAGCGGAAGCTCGTCGACCCGTACTTCAAAGGCGTCTACATGCAGCGCGGCTCCAAGGCGATGGCGAACCATTGGGGGCGTATCCAATTGGCGTGCAACAAATGGCATGGAATCGTCGAGGAGGTCGCGGCTCGCCCGGAGAGCGGCGCCAGCGTTGAGGATCAGGTACGCACTCCGTTCGCCCGCATCTCTTCGTCGTCAACGCCTGCCAACTGTTTGTTCCTCCGCGCAGCTGCTGCGTATGTTCACCATGTATCGGCGCGACAACCAGGACGCCGACTTCAAGCACCTCCACGTCTACAAACGCATTGACAAGTGCGAGAAGTGGGCGGAAGTCCGACGTACCCTCGACAAGGCCAAGGAGACATACAAGCCGGACGCGACGACTCTGGCGCGTCAGAGGGGCGGCCGGACGGCCACAAATTGGCAAAGAAGGGGAAAAACGCCGACGCGGCAACCGCGCGAGTGCAAGAGTCCATCGAGCATTGCCTCACCGACGCCCAGGCCCGGGCCGTCCTACATGAAGAGAAGACCAAGGCGCGGTGGTCGTCGCTGATGAAGAACAGCGCCATCAAGCTCGACCTGCTCCGGACGAACGTCGCCGCGAAGAAGAGGAACACCGACATGGCTTTTCTGATGGGCGGGGCGGACATGCGTGGTACATGGCGGAGCACGGCCTCATCCTAAAACAGATGCAGACGGCAACGCCGACGACGCCGACGACGCAAGCTCCCGCGCCCACGACCACACGGACGCCAAGCCCGAACGACGCCTCTACATCGCCGCCCAGCAGTGCCGAAGCCGCGCCGACACAGCCCAGCACCGAAGCAGCTCCGACACCGCCGAGCCCGAGCACGCCGACTCCGCCAACGCCTGGAGCTGACCCCGCCGAGTGAATCATTGCGCACGCGAACTTGCAGCGTGCGGCGCTCTGTTTTTTGTAACGCCAGACTACGTCCGATCGCCGGATTTGTGGCGTCTTTTAAGAGCAGGAACGACCAAGTTTAAATTTCCCGCATCCTGGGGCCGGCGCTTGGGGGCGTGACTGGGAGCTAGGTCGCCCCCAGGGGCCGAACTAGCGCCGGCACGCCCCCAGGCCGCTCTATTTAGGCGCCCTGGGGGGCCGAACGGCTGGAGATGCCCTCAATGCATTGCAAAGTTTGGGAATAGTGACAATTTAAGTGTAACATGAAACTAACAGCAATCGGTAGTAGAGGGGGCAAGCTTCTCCTGTCAACTTTCCGGTCCCTCCACGACGTGGCCCCAAATTGGTTAAGCAGCTGAATCTCACAGAGCAAGGCTTTCCTCCTCATTTCATTGCCCACTCTAGCTGAAGCCTCTCCAATCGACAGAACCTCATCCACAACAGAGTTGTAGATTGATCTCTTTGTCCTGACGCCATCAATCACCACGCTCACCATCGCCGATATCCTTTCCTCAGTCACCAGGAGCAGCATTGCGAGTGCAGCGACACGCCCCTCCATGGCGTATCTGTAAGCCACCTCCCCAACCTCCCTGGTCTTCTCTGCCAGAAGCCTCACCGCGTTCAGATCCTGCACACACATTCAGGCAAGTTGCAGTTTGGCATGAGAAATTGATCCTGTCTAGTATCAACTATGTAACAGAAGTTTGGAGCTGTGTGTGAGTTTAGTGATGGGACAAACCTTTTGTTGCAGATAAGCCAGAAGATCCTCGACCGAGTTGTCCTGTGACCAATCAACTTGAACCCTGAAGAGAAAGCACGGAGGGAATTGCTGTCAGTTTGATCTCAAATGGCATCGACCAAATGAACAATCATCAGTACTAGCAAATACTAGTAGCACGCAGTTGGTGCCATGCCATTGACGCACCTTCTGCTCATGAGCGCGACCTCGAGCGCGACGAGGCGTGTGCCGTCGAGCAGCCTGACGTCCGTCCGGGCGTTCCTGGAGAGGAGCAGCTGGATGCACCTCTTGAAGTGCACGTCGGCGGCGACGTGGAGCGGCGTCCGCGTGAGCTGGTCCCTGGCGTCGACGGAGGCCGGCGTGATCCCGTACTCCCCGTCGAGGAGGAGCCTGGCACACTCGACGGCGTCGTGCCTGCAGGCGAGGTGGAGGAGCCTGTTGGACATCTCCTGATCGAGGATCCTGGCGGCGTCGGAGCCGTTGCGCAGCCGGCCCAGCGCCGCCTTCTTGATGCTGTCCACCGCCGCGAGGAGGAGCGCGGTGTCGTCCTCCACGATGGCGCGGGAGACGTCGTCATCCTGCTTGCCCATCTTGTCCGTCGTCCCGTCACCCTCTTCGCTCAAGCTCTGCACAATCCAAGCACCA